AGCTCGTCATCCCACCACTTAACTGATACCCCACATCGTACCACCTTCTTTCCCGCTACTCTCTGTGCCGTTGTGTTCACTACGGACTCCCACCCTTCAATCACCCTGTCCCCTGCTGTCTGTACGTCTACCTGTCCGTCTTCGACGCTTCTCAGCAGTTTCCTGAAGGATTCTACACTACCAGCCAGCCCCTTCTGGAATTCATCCCGTGTCCCATCGTCTCCCAAACGCTCTACCTTCCATCGGAACACTTTCCTCTGTTTCTTACTCTTGATCTTTCTGGATCGGTCGATGTTTGCCCATATGAGGAAGTGGTCGGTCGAACCTATATCTATCGCACTTATGTGCAGCTCTGGGATCTGCGTGCTCCCCCTGTCTACCAGGATGTAGTCGAGGATTGAGTATTCATTGCAAACTGCCCGTTGCCTTGTGAACTCCGGCTTATCGCATTCCCTCCTACCGTTCAACACCATCAGTTCGTTGCTTCCCAAGAATTCAAGCATCCTCACTCCGTTGTCATTCACTTTGTCTTCTCCGGGCTGCCCGATCGCCTGTCCTCTACTGGGAGCTTTCCCTACCNGCATTCCCTCCTACCGTTCAACACCATCAGCGCGTTGCTTCCCAAGAATTGAAGCATCCGCACTCCGTTGTCATTCACTTTGTCTTCTCCGTGCTGCCCGATCGCCTGTCCTCTACTGGAAGCTTTCCCTACTCTGGAGTTGAAATCGCCCACCATGACAACTTCTCCCTTCCTACTGAACCTCTGGACATCCTCCCCAATTCGTCCAAAGTTCTCCTGCGCCTTGCTTACGACCTGCTGCGACGACGGTGGGACGTATACGTTCCCTAGAAACAAATCTTTCTCACCCCGCTCCCCAGGTATCTTAGACTAAGCCATAGGCTTTCCTCGAACTCCGTTTTCACCACTACTTCCACCACGTCAAACAAGTGTTCCTTGACCAGGAATCCGACTCCCCCCTCCCCCCTTTTCTTCGGGTCTAAGCCCTTTCTTGCCTTCCCTACCCACCGGTTTTCCCCTGGTTTGCTTACCACGTCACAATCCTTCAATTCCCACGTCTCTTGGATCCCCACTACATCTAGATCGCTTTGTTCTACTTGGTCCACTATTTCCAACCGCTTGCGCTCACTCCTTGCGAACCCGCACACGTTCCACGACCCGACTCTCAGCTTGTGCTTTTCCCTAATGAGATATTGCGCACTCTGTGGCTCGCCTTCCGCCTCTTCTCGGCGTTCTTCTTACTTCCCTGTTCACCTCCCCCGCTCGGTCCTTTCTTCTCCTCCATCGCCCTCGCCTCTTGCCTCCTTACCTTCTCTGTTTCTATCATGTTCGCGATGCAAACCCTCCATCCAAACTTCCTTACGTAGTTCGACAGCTTCTCTTCTCGATGTCAACCCCCAAGCACTCTGGCTGTCTCCCTTGGTCAATTTCACCCGGAAGTGTTCATGCTCTCTGCCTACTTGTCCCCTTCCTAGGCAGTGCAGTCCCTCCCATGGGAGACAAAAAACAATTATACGTTGTAGGACCAAAAGACAGACTCACCCAACCGATTTGAGAAAAAGGGGAAGTCCGGACTTGGGGTAAATCAGAACCGAGGTTGGCAATTAGCGGTCTACTCGCACGCACGGCGCGTGCCCATGTACCCTACACCCCTACCCACGCAAACTCCATCCACTGTTGTCGCACACCGCCGAGAAGAGAGAGCGAGAGAACAAACAGAACCAACCAAAGGGGCACTGCGCGCACTGTTGTTACACATGACCAGCGCTGAAAAAAACGCGCGAGGGGTACACGTTGGCCTGTGTGACATGTCCCCGTGGGTTGTCGAACCTCAAATACATGCACAGACGAATTCATTCGTGGCTTTCGGTTGGACGAGGCTCGACTCTGAATCTCACATGCATGCATGCACAGAAATCGGGTGACGTGATGAGTAGAAATACAGGGGCCATGCTGGTCAAGAGGACTAGCTCCCCCCATATGGCACGGCCACGTCACAACAGCAACGGGAAAATGGGAAACGGCGGCGGATCTTTCGGGTTGTTTGCGGTGGGCTGCATATAATTTGGAGGCGCGACGGCGCTGGAGAGCGTCAAGACTAGGAACCGACGCCGGACCAATCAGAGGGCGTGGAAGGGCTTAGAGAGGAAGAGTCACGAACAGGTTGCAAAAATTACTGTCTCCCTTCCATCGTTTTGATGGTTGTTTTCGTTGTTGTTGTTGTCTTGACATTAAAAACCGTTCCGATCCCTCTCTAACCAGTACCTTCGTATGCCCGTACTGATCCAACACTCGACGCGGTCGATTCCCGTGGTCGCAGGCTAACTTACCCTCAAAAAGGTACCCTCATATAAACTGGCCCCGAGTGGTCCGCAAGTCAATAGAAATGAACGACAGATATTTTGGAGTCCTCCACTCCCCCTACGCGCTATGCGAGGACTAACAACTGAGACTAGGAGTCACCATCACGGGCCGGAGAGAATGAGATACACCCCCTTGGTTCAATCTCTGTACTTCACAACGCAAGCAGAGAAAAGGCCATCTGGTACAGAAAGAGAAAAAAAGAAGAGAAAAAAAGAAGAAAATATAAGGAAACAGCATAAGGAAAGAGGAAATTAAATGAAAAAGAGCGAGGGCAAAAATGGACCAGGCCGAAAATAACAAGAAACAAGAGACAGAAAAAGGCACACGGTGGAGGGACCACTAACGAACAAGCAAACACGCAAACATGGCCACCAACCAGCGATACATTGTTATGGTACGTCATCACTAGTGAGGGGTTGGTGCAAATTGTGCAGCGGTGGGGGGG